ACAGACCTGGGAGACAAATGATGAATAGAACCAGCGGAAAAGGGCGGGCCGGCAGTGACAGACCTGGGAGACAAATGAAGAGAAATGTTGCGTGGCCAACGGAAAAGGGCGGACACCACCAATGACAGACCTGGGAGACAAATGACTTAAGGCCAGGGGAGGAGGTCGAAAGCTAGCCGAATTGCACCGGATGTACTAGTTACATAGTCGGCAAAGCATGTAGTGATTACATGTTTTGGGAGAAAGGTTGCTACGTACACACTTTGCGCTGAAGAATGTAAATGTGACATCGCCGACTGGGAAGGGTACATTGGAACAACACGGGCGCACTCGTTGGCAGGCACGAAGGGGGTTAAATTTACCCCCCGCTTTTGTATGCCTTGAGTCGAAAAGAGGGGTAAGCATTTCTGACATCACACGGACTGTACATACACTGGGCGTCCGTAGTGTAGGAGAAGCACGGGTAAAGGGTATATGGAATATAGAGTGTCTTGAGGAAATAGCCGGCTTATGGTTATTGCAATTCTGGTGGTTAATTTTTTAAATTTACCCACCGCTTATGTATGCCTTGTGCCGGAAAGAGGGGTAAGCATTTCTGGATATTTCTGGCATCACAAGGACTGTGCATACACTAGGGCGTCCGCAGTGTAGGATAAGCACTGGTAAAAGGTATAAGGAGTAGAGTGTCTTGAGGAAATAGCCGGCTTATGGTTATGGCAACTCTGGGGGGTAAATTTACCCCCCGCTTATGCATGCATTAGGTTAGAAATAGGGGTAAAGAACTTGTAACAGTGAAGTACAAGTCCGGAGACAAGCCAGCCGGGAACCCGACCACAAGCACCCAGGGAGACAAATGAAAAGAAGTGGGAGACAATTGAAAGGAAGTGGGAGACAAGCCAGCCGAAAACCCCACCACAAGCACCCAGCCTGGGAGACAAACAAGTGAAAAGAAGCGGGAGACAAATGAAAGGAAGTGGGAGACAAGCTTCACAAGCACCCACAAATGAAAAGAACTGGGAGACAAGTGAAAAGAAGTGGGAGACAAATGAAAGGAAGTGGGAGACAAGCTAGCCAGAAACCCGACTACAAGAAAAGAACTGGGAGACAAATGAAAAGAAGTGGGAAGCAAACGAAAGGAAGTGGGAGACAAGCCAGCCGGGAACCCGACCACAAGCACCCAGCCTGGGAGACAAATGAAAAGAACGGAGACAAGTGAAAAGAAGTGGGAGACAAATGAAAGGAAGCCTGGGAGACAAATGAAAAGCACTGGGAGACAAATGAAGGAAGTGGGAGACAAGCCGGCCGGGAACCCGACCAGACCATCCAGCACCAAGGCGACCATTCTTTAAAGCATTGAGAACCCCTAACAGTATACTGTTTGGGGAAAAAAAAGAAAAAAAACATCGACTCTGAGGAGTTCTGGGGTTCTGGCGGTTGCTCTTGGAGACAGAACATCCATATATGGAATTGTTACATATGGAGCATATGCATATATGAACACCATGTATGACACATCCATGTAGGTAACTCTTCCAGTCCCATGTATGGCCTGGGACAATTCATCCACCAAAACTTACATGATGGGCATGGAACACATACTGCACTCACCCAAGCTTCGTCGTCTTTGAGCTGCGGCACCATCTCAGGACGTGGCTTCTGGGGTGACGTGTCGCCGTTTGCCTGGCAGCCGGGGGTCTATCTGCCGGAGCGCTTGGTGGCAGAGGAGGCCTCCTGAAGCTGAGAGACTTTTGTATCGTTGGACCCAGGTAGGTAATGCCAGGAGCAGAAATTGACAGAAATAGGTAAGGCCAGGAGCTACGTTCATAGCGTCCGATCGCTCCGTTCGGTTCGCGATAGCCTCCAACCTTTTTTTGCTTCTGGCCTCCACCGAGCATAGCGTCCGAGCGCTACTAGTAGCGTCCTTGTACCGGAAGTTCCATGTCGGGGGTGGCTGAAAAAGACCCTACCTGAGTGGATGTGGCAGGGGCACCCCAGACCTCCTTCATGGATAGCACCCCGAGTGCCGGAACTGCTGGTGTGGAGAAGTGGTTTGGGATTCCCAACCGGAAATTCCAATTCAAAGTGTGACTGGTTAGATCCCGGCGCTTTGCTCCATTTAACCAAGAAACACACCATGTTTTGAATTGTTTTGATGTCCGTGGTGAAGTACACTCCCGAAAACTAAGATGGACCCTGAGAATGGTACCCTCAAAGACTTGTTTTCCTCTACAAAGCAGTGGTTTTCAGGGTCTATGTGAGTTTTCGGTGGGTTCAAAGGTTCACGTCGGTAGCTTTCAGAGTGAGAACTTGCTAGGTGGACGACCGATAGCCAAGTCCGGCGAAGCCATGAGCATCATTGGACCTTACTGTATATCGGACTATAGTGGAATCGATGGACACCAGGCCAGACGGGGTACTCCTCGCGGCGTTCGGATTTTCGGATTGGTTCAAGGGGCGCCTCACTGGTTTGGACAATCCAGTGCGTTCACATTGCCAGGGGCAACGTTGATCACGTTTCACTAGTTGTTCCGGGTGCACAAGCAGAGAAGCAAAGGGGTCTTCGGTATTTGTGAAGCTATTTGGAGTAATTCTACTAGAATGGATGAGGGGCGATTGGATTCTTCCTTGGAGTTATCCTACATCATAACCACTGAGGTCCAGTTGTGGACAAGTGCTCGTCACGCAATTCTTATACCGGATACCCAAAAACATGTGATTTGAATTCCATGTTTGCTTTGCTGAGTGTGAGGTCGAATAGGACCCGAACTACAAGGGGACAAGTGCCCCGCTAGTACCTCCGCGAATTTCTTTCATGCAGACCTGCCCAGACCTGCCCAGACACTCCATGGCACTGGATTATATACCATCCGAGGAAGAAAATCATCACCCTTTCACCATCCCTGGCCGTTTTTGGGCTCCCTCATCTCGCGGACAAGAATTTTTTGAGTCAGTAACTGGATCAAACTGGATCCTCCCAAAACTGGATCAAACTGAATCCCACCAAGGGGTTTGCACCTTTTCAAATCCCCTCTTCGGCCACTCAGAATGGGCGCAGGCGGTGCGCGAGGAGCTACTGCAGCGCTTGCGGAGCACCGAGGGCACCATCTCCTGTGGCTTTCGGATCGAAGGAGGTTCCGTTCCCGTGTCCGACACCCCCCGGTGTGTCGAAGGAGGGGCCGGCCCTTTGTTTTGTAGAAGAAGGAGCGTCCAAGCGTCCAACCATAGCTTTAAAGGCTAAAGATTTGGGCAGTTTTTGCAGATGAGCCCCCAATCATAGGCGAATATAGGCGACATTGGCCATTCATAGTGCCATTCATCCTCCAAGTCCAGCCAGCTTTGCTCCAAATTATCGCTACCGCTAGATTTGGCTGGACCTTGAAAGCTGATTTCCTCACTTAACAAAGATTGATCAGCGGGAGGACGCTGATGCCATACACTCGAACTCTGAGGAGGTTGGTAGCAATTCAGTCTTCCCAATGACCATTTCATCTATTTCCATTTCCACGTGAGTGAATCGGAGCGTAAAGAACTTGGGCCCAGAATTTTTGGTGATGTTGTCATGGCTTTGGGTGTTTGGGTGAGGCCGGATCATTGAGGAATGGTCATGGCATATTTTTTCACACTCATGGTTGGACTGCTGCGTTCCTACTTCGGGATGTGCATATCCAGCAACTCTATCCTTAGTGTCCTGGGCGTGGGCGTTGAATCACAAGCATGCACATGTTGCAAGCCTTAGTTCTGAGTCCCACACCAAGTGGCCATCGCTATTAGGTTGGAGGCCATCGCCAGGAGGTTGGAGGCCATTGCTGCTAGTGGTTTCCTAAGGTTGAGACTTTAGGTGTCAGCTTCCAACTGCCGCCAGGTGATTCTCCTTGACATGTGACCTCAAAAAGGGGGCGAAGCAGCCTGCAGCATCCGGTCGCGTGCCGAACGGGGTCTGGTCGACCACATGCCATCCTCCTATCGTTGGGCTTCCCTCGCTATCGTCCGAGGGACGATGTGAACGGACCATAGTCATCGACCAATCTCATAGATGAAGAAAGGATGCAGCCGAGGAAGCTCCGATCGGCACCCCTATAGAAATTGTGCGAACGCAGTCGTGGATGACATCTCATGCCACGCTGATGGGCTGCTTGTGGCGTGTTCCACATTACGGTGAAGAATTCCAGGTGCTTGTTTCATGCGCAGACGCTCATGGACCTTCCAAAAACCTAGCTATGAGGGTCCAATGAGCCTTTGGGGGTACTATTAGACAGAAACCCCAACTCCCCAAATAACCGCATTGGGATAAGAAAGATCCACCGCTGCATCTGCCAATTACATACAGTATAGGACCCCTGGTACATCCATGGTCGATGTGGGGATTTGCAGGCATCATTCCCCCTACAGGTCAGTTAGGTTTCACTGGGTCTTTGGACATGTATACGGAGATTGTAGGCTGCTGTTACTTTATTGACCCAGGCAATCCTATGTGCTTTGCATCTCGAGCTGTGGTTTGCGTGAGTCCAAACACCAAAGCAAGCGAGTGCCATGTGGTTGGAGGTGCTTTGATTTTTACTGTGGTCACCATCTCATCCTAGCACTTCTACCCACCATTTCGCTGTTTGCCTGTTCCTGGTGCGGATGTCACCGGTGGCCTTACGCGGCTACCGAGCTCCTCGATCGGATCCTCCGGATCCGTCGGAGAAGGGTCCGTTGGAGACGCTCCAGGCGCCGATCCCAAGCGGAGCATGCGAATTCAAGGCGCCTCTGCGCTGCGCGCGTCGCGAGCGGGTCGATGGGGAGCCTGAGCTTGGCGTGGCGTTCAGCTTCGGTTGAGAGTCCAGTGGCGGGTGAGGTGAGGTGGTGAGATGGTGAGGTGAGGTGAGGGGTGGATCTCACTGGTGATATCAACGATGTTCCGGAGCTCCGCTTTTTGTGCATGTTGACCTGGCTTTGCTTAGGGTGATGCTTATGTTCTTTCTGGGTTCAATCAGCTTTTGGGGATATGATGGAAATGTGTTTTCCCAGTTCTTAAGCAAATCCAAGATGAGCATTCCAGGTTACAATGACTCAAAAGACCTGTGGATGGCACAGTTCAACGAATCAGACGCGAGTGTGTTCAAGCAGCCGGCCCGCAACATCTAGATTGTTGATGAATAAAACCGCCCCCAAAGCAAGAGGTTCTTACGCTCCAACTTTGGGGATTCTATAGTTCTATTCATCAACTGTTTGAGGATGTTATTCATCATGTATGTAGACTATTAATGATTTGCCCTAGGGCTCCAAGTACCTCCTTAGAAGGTATTTGGACCCTCTAAACCCACCCCAAACACCTTCTAAGGAGCCCTAGGGTTGATGTTTCACTGGACCTGACTGGACATTCCGAAGACATCCAAATCACCGTAGCCACCGACCCATATTCGCCTCCCGTCGCTTCCCCTTTGCAGGCGAAGATGTGTCGCCTTTGGAGAGGGCCATGCAGCAGGGAAGCTCAAAAAGCAGTTTCAAGGATGGTCTTTCGAGAAGCCAAGCAAAAACACGATATAAAGCTCTGAAAACAAAGAAACCCAAATGACAAACACTCCAGGAGTCACAAAGGGGTGCCTATTGGAGAATAGGGGTGCCCACGATCTGGCACCATTGATTTTTTGAGTCGATTTGCTTTTCACTTTCTGTCTTTTCTTGTGAGTTGTTTTTCCCGAGAGCGTTTGCGAAGGTTTTTTCGTAAAAAGCATCTGTAGAACTATACGTCTCATCTACATCTTCACATCTTCACATCTGCACATCTACATCTTCATCTACATCTCTGCTCATCTTCACATCTTCACATCTGTACATATACATCGTCACATCTTCACATCTGCACATCTACATCTTCACATCTCACATCTGCGTATCCCACATCTGCGTATCCAGTCGCTCTTCTTTTCTTTCTCTCTTAAGGCGGGGGCGGTGCCGCCGGAGCACCACGAAACGCATTCCTCTGCGGAGATCGAGCAAATTCGAGGGCGCGAAATGCAGGTGAGATTGCATTGTTCCATGCGATCTGCATATCCTGCCGGTGTGGATACTATCCAGGAATTGAAGTTGGATTGTCTGGAGGCCGCGGATGACGGAGATGGGTGTGTAGAATGGAGATCGGACGTGGAGAGGCAAATGATGCAGTCCATCTCTGGATGGCATGAAGGTGATGTTGTGAAGAGTGCTTTTGTGCCATTGGGCGCAGTGCTTTTTGGTATTGGTGCGCCTGCTGTCGATGCCGACATGGATGGCGATGCATCCCTTGTTGATGAGGAAAATGTGGACATGGAGCCTTTGTCGGAAGAGATGCAACATGCCCAGATGGTCGTGGCTGTCCTGGATGATGCAGATATGAATGTGGAAAGCAAGTTGCGGAAACTTGGACGGATCTTGAACTGTGCTCCAACGGTCCCTGATGCTGGTGATGCATTGTCGCACGTGGTGATGCGGTGTCACGAAGGTGATGATGTGCGGACACCGCAGGAAGATTATCAATGTTCGCGGTGCAATTTCAGGGCCTCTCGGAGGAAACTGTTATTGGAACACCTTGTGCATGACTATGGTGGAAGTGATGGTGATGATTTCACACTCATCAAATATCGCAAGCAGATCGTTACTTTGCTTGTGGATCTGGTGGATGCACTGATCAAAGAAGTTGTTGCGGTGTTAGAAAAGGTGAATATGAAGTTTGAGACCAAGTTGCGGACAGCCGCGCAGATGTTGGAATGCTCCCACCTTTTCTGGGGTTAGTGAGGTGTTGTCTCGTTTGGTGTTATGATGACGACGATGTTCAGAAACCGTTGCAGCGGTATCAGTGTTGTTTGTGCAACTTTGCGCTTCTGGGAAAAGGCTTTCTTGGATCACATCGTGGAGAAACACAGCGGTGGTGCTGATGATGGTCGTGTGCTCATCGAGTATCGCAAGAAGGTTATCGGATTGGTGACACATTTGGGGCCTTCAGATGCTTGTCCTCGTTTTTAGAGTTTTACATGTGCACTGTAAGTGGCGATAGGTGTTCGGAAGCGCGCTTTTAATTTACTATTTTGAATGAACATTTTTATCTGAAATATGACATCACATGCTTCCCTATGTCAATTGCCACATGGCATTCACATCATGGATACTGTCGGGGTATGTTGGTACCGAGCTTTTTTTGTCAGATTTGCGTGGTATTTTTGATACAAAAATGATATCACCTTTCTCATTCACGGTATGTTGGTACCGAGGTTTTTGGTTTGAAAATTTGAACTTGAATTTCGCATACACATGACATCGCATGCACCATTCGCACGTGCATTCACATCATGGATACCTTCAGGGTATTTTTGTACCGAGCTTTTTTAGATTTTCATGGTATTTTCCACATAAGTATGACATCACATGCTTCATTCACGCTATGTTGGTACTGAGGTTGTTTGCTCCGAAATTCGAACTTGAATTTTGCCTACACATATGACATCGCATGCACCATTCGCACGTGCATTCACATCATGGATGCCTCCAGGGTATGTTGGTACCGAGCTTTTTTGCAGATTGATATGTTCCGCATAAATATGACATCACATGCTTCATTCACGGTATGTTGGTACCTTTATTTTTTGTTGGAGAATTGAACTTGAATTTTGCATACACATACGACATGGCACGTGCATTCACATCATGGATGCCTTCAGGGTATGTTGGTACCGAGCTTTTTTCGGATGTACATGGTTTTTCCACTTAAAATATGACATCACATGCTTCATTCACGCTATGTTGGTACCGAGGTGTTTTTTTTGAAAATAAGAACTTTTTACGACGTCGTTTGCTCTCAGGTCACCCTTACGTCCATTTCGTACGGACTTCAGTGTGGAATTGACGTTTGATTCGAAACTCTTCAGCGTTGTGCTTGCACAGCGAGAAATGCACCAAGGTTGGCGCTCTTGACCAACAACGTTGCGCCGCCGTTTCATCTGCGCATCTACGTCTACACACCCTCACCTCTGTACATTTACATCTTCACACGCTCACATGCGCAGATCTACCTCTCTACCCCACACATCTGCGCATCTATATCACACCTGCACATCCACACTGTCACTCCTTCACATCCGCCCTCGCTTTCTCTCTTTCTACATATATTTTCTCTAAATAGTTTAAATCAAATTTCTCCGCAACTTCTTACTCAATAACAGATTGTATAAAGAAGTCATGGCTCTTGGGCAACTCCAATTTAACTCAGCAAATGGTGTACGAAGATCCACATTTTCCATTTGTGTTTCCTTTGCCCGTTGGTCGTTGGAGCACCTAGACCAAACATTCGGACCCTGTGCAGTTCATGGAACAGTGGCAGTGACTTTTAAAGAAGGGTCTTCTGGATGATTACACGATAGTACGCAGCCAAGTGACATGTGAGCCACGAAGGAACCTGTGGAAACACCACTGTCGATCTATATGTTCTCTGAAAACGTAGACGGATGAACAGCAATAGCAAGAGAAAAATGCCAGGAACTCAGGAACCCCCCTCAGAACTTCCATGAACTTCCACCTCCAACGCGCGTTTTCACACCGCGCCGCGCGGACCTGAAGGCCTCGAATCGATCGACTGGGGATCGACCGGCGCCAAAGGGTGGACGGGGCCATGCTGCCATCGGTGAACCCCCGAGGTATGGAGATCCCATGACCATCCAAAGTATCCACAAGGCCATTGAGCTCTTTGCGCAGGCGGCTGATGGCACCGATCTGCGGAGGGGAGCGGACATGTCGGTTGTTCGATGTGTTTGTCTTGCAGAAAAGATCATATACCTTCATAAACATGTTCTGGGGTGGGAGATGGGATGCCTGTGTCAGCGAGCCTTTCGCCTTTCCCAACTCGATCTTGCTCCGGGTTCGATGGGTGAAGTTCAGCGGAAACACCCGGTATTTGTGCCTTATATAAAATAATTATGGTCAGCTCATGTCAATTCCATGTAATTTTTGTGTGGTTGTATTGTCTTAATGGTCCGAAGAGGTGATTGAACAAGGACACCTGGCAGGTCCAAATGTCTGGCAGGTCTCCCGTGGAGGCTTTTGGAGACTTAAGAGTGACAGGAGGTGGTAGTTGATTTGAGATGTTTGCCTACCGCCCGTGCCAGGATGGCCCAACATCTTTGGGACGGAAAAGACAACCAACAGTGAACATTCCCAGCACCATGTGAAAGGGTGTATATAGGATACAATATTGTTGTATCAATTTGGATATAACATTAATTATGGTTTTAGAAACCCCTGAAACTGAGTGGTGTTGGTTTTGTCCAATCTACTCAACCACTTGTTTGTGCCCTTGGAAGAGTAGGGGGGCGCCTCGTTCGCCACACAGGCGCCCCCCTTGATCGTCCTGCCGGATGTGGACAAGCGCAGCGAGGAGTGACGCGGAACGCGGCGCCGCCGTTGGGGTAGATAGACTGACTGGTAGACCAGTGGTAGACCAGTGGGGCACCAAGTTCGGTTGTTTGGACCCCCATCTTTGCCCCATCTTCGGTTGTGGGGTTTCCCAGAGGTTCGATGGCACGGATGAACGCACCCCAAGAGGTCTATCCGACAGATGGGGATCCATATACAGTAAACCTCACTTGGTGATTGTGCCATCTACTCTCAATCCACTACTCTGAAATCACTGTATGTTCCGAACCGAAGCCAAGGGGCTCGTGGCAAAGTGTCGTTCTAATTTGAGACACAAGCGTGTGTGCAACGTTCCGTGGGCATTTTCTGAGAACGATAGTGGATGGTCACTGTTTTCGTGCCGCTAGACTTAGAATTGAACTACATCATGTGGGATAGGCCAAAGGCCCTAAGGCTTCTTCAACCTTTGGTAGTGCGGAAGCTTGGTAATTAGGCTCTGAATGTTTTCTGGATCTATCAGAGTGGAAGAAACAGGTGAGCCATCAACCTGCAGACAGGGCGATGGCGATATTTGATCCCCTGGTAGATGAGTGAACTTCGGATCCCAAACCGAGGTCAAGCTGCCAGTACATGTCCACCAGGAAGTCAGCTGAGCCTGTTTCGGTAGGGTCCCCGGATGGACGAAGCATCTTCAGGACGGCGGGCAGACCAAACTTCCAGTGGCGATCCTGTTTCCAGGTGCGCGAACTTCGGAGATGAGACAAGTTTGGACCGATGAATGGCCAAACAAAGTAAGTGTTCTCCATCCAAATTGGTATGCTCAACTTAAGTGTGTTGTTTCACCATTCACCTGGTGCAGATTCCAGGCCAAGTCATGTTATCAGCAACTGTGGCATGCAGAGACCAGAAAACATGGTCAAAAGGATTCAAAAAGGGGAATATCCTTTGCCTCAAATGGTGCGACTGGTGGTTCTTGGTCCTGCAATATTGGGATGTTTTATTTCGAGAACACCGCCGAACTCTTCACTTGCAGACCTTGTCAATGTTTTTGTTATGAGGGTGATGTTGGCAGAGCTACTCAAGGTTTGAGAACCACGGGGAGGCATGGTTTAGAGTCTAGGCATCGTTGGTTGAGCAGTTGAAATGACTGCCATTCTGGACATGCTATGGTAGTGATGTCAAGATAAGCAAGCAAGAGTCTCGAATATGCTTGATGTGGTGTGATGTTCTTTGGCTGCATTGGGCAAACAAAGCACACCCTGTAATTGGTCATGTTTACCAAACCTGCTGTTTATCTACAAAAAAATGAACACAGAGGGGATGACTGATCAGTGGGCTAGCACCTTGCTGCGGTACCTGTTCTTTTTGTTGCTTGCACCTGGGCAGTCCAAGCATATGAGGCCAAGGCGTTCAATCAAATCACTAGGACTGTGAACTCACGGAGCCTTTTTATGCAAAAAAAGTACCCTGAGGCCGCCCCATCAATTTGGGGAGCTCCTTGCCAGTTGTTTGCCCTGCAAAAACAACGACTGATGTGATGCGTTCAGGGCAAGGCTCGCAGTATGTGAAGATGTTGGCGGAGGCGTCGACCGGTTCACGACGGCATCGCATGTCAATCGCAGAATCTGAAGACGTCATATGAGGTTCCACTCCAGATGCTAGTAGTAACAGGTGCCACGCTAGTAGTAACAAGTGCCTTACTAC